GTACCGAGTGCTGAGCACCTCGGAGAAAGCACACTAGCAAAGGTTTGGCTTTTAGTGTCAGGCCTACAAGAACACCAAGTGGTCCTGCAGAAACGAGTGTCCTCCCCTTCAGCTCAGGAAGACCTGCCAAGTCCCCCTGACAGCCATCGTCCCAAGGAAAGCAAGAGATAGTTCCTTAGGCCTGGGAGGAAACCAGGGGATTCTGAGCACTTGCTTTCCTGAGTTATTTCTAAATGTCCACACCAACTAGCAAATAAGGTTCCATTTTGGTCTGAAAAGAAACCATATTCCCAGATAGATGCAGACTGTTTTGTTTTTTTGTTTTTTTTTTTTTTTTTTTTGGCAGAACCAGGGATTGAACTCAGGCCCAGGCAAGCACTTATTTTACTGAGCTATCTCCCTGGCCCACTTTTACAGATTCAATCCTATTTTTTAAACTTTGATTTACAAGTCTTAGACCAACGCTTTCATATCTATTCACACCAGAACATCCATTTGCGTTGCTATTTTTCCCCGGATTAAATTTCAAATGAAGAGATCCTTGAACCTTTTCTTTATGGCTGATTTTTGGAGACATGCAGCCTGCTTTTCCTGATTCCACCCTGCAAACTTTTTTCCTGCAATTCTTTTACTTTGCCTTAGCACAACTGCATTGACCAAACGGTTTCCTCTGATGGTGATAGGAGAGAGTGAACTCTGAGATGACTCTTCTGGACTTGTATCACAATAAACTGAAACTGGTGTAGAACTGCTACTGAAGAGATTACTTGGCAACAGCTCAAAGTTAAATTTGTGCTTGATGGACTTCCTTTTCTTATTTGAGAGACCATGAGAAAAATCTACTGGCAATTTGCACTTAGCATTTGGTGTTAGAATCATTGGGGATGCAGACAGCTGGGAGTTCTGTCTTGTTGAGGTGTAACAGCGAGTGTTCTGCTAGATTTAAGTTTACTTAGTGCTCCCTTGACAAAATCTCCAACACTTTGTCTTTGCTTTCTCTTACACTCGCTAGAGGCTTCATGTTCACCTTCTTCTTCAAAGCCTTCCAATGGTGGAGTAACACTGAGACCATCAATACCCAACATCACTGGTATCTTTTCCAGGATAAAATCTGGTACCTGCCCAATGTCTGAGGCATAATTTATAAAAGTCTGCACTACTGTAGCCTGTCATTGTAGCTTTTTTTCTGTGTGAGAAGACATCTTTTCATGTCCTTCACTTGTCTGAAGAAGATTTGGTGCAAACATTACTGCAAGATTGCTGCTATCCATCCTTTTTTTTTTTTTTTTTTGGTGCGGAACTGGTGATTGAACTCAGGCCCTTGCACTTGTCAGGGAAGCGCTTATTCCACTGAGCCATCTCCCCGGCCCTCTATCTTATTCTTGCTGAACTTAAGACAAACATTCCTGAGAAAGTTAAAGAAACATCTTAATATATCAACTGTATGATCAGTCATAAGGCAGGAAAGCAACTGTAGCTGTGTTCTTTTCCTCTGATTCTAACTATTGAGCTTTGAATAGTGCCCCATGCAAATCAGCTGGAAGAATGGGCTCTTGCAATTCCCTAAAGAACTTCTTAAGAAGCCTTGGACTATCACAAGGAAGTGCAGAAGACAGGCCACATTCATCATCCAGTTTAATCTTTTCTAAATGTATTTTTTGGTGCAGCTTGAACCCTTGGTGATCCTCCTGTTTTCAGCCTCCCCAGAGCTGGCATTACAGGTGTGTGCCACCACATGTGGTCTCCCTGGCTGGCTCAGCACATCCTGGGCGTTGTGGTGTGGCATGTGGTGCTTGCAATCAAACCCGGGCTCTCTGCTTGCCTAAGCAGGTGCTTAGTCCGCTGAGTTATCTCACTGGCCTTTATCCAATTTATTCCTTAGTGCCTTTAGGTGAATAACTGATCCTGATTTCCTAAAAAGCCCCTTTGTATGAATATGCTTTTCTAAAGTGCAAGCATCCACAAGAAAGCTTGGAATGTGTCCATATGTGGTACAAGAGAGTTGGGTAAGGCATTAAAAGGGACTCCCAAGTATTTTACTCTGTTTCTGTGAATGTTGATTCATGTTTCCTGCGATTGCACCGTCCACAGCTACCTCTGACCTTAATATTAATAGCACAGGCAACTGGAAGGTGCTGCAGCAATGCCAGTCTAATCTGCCTCTGACCCCACATCTCGGTCGCGCCATCCCCTCTCCGAGTAGGATCTAGGTCTGGAGTCTGGTTCGCCCCAAGGCTTCCAATTCCCCAACACGCTCAGATTAGAGCTCCACTCCTCTGCCTTTCAGCCAGGTGTGGCACCCTGAGGGCCCAGGCCCAGCCACTTCCACAGCTTTCCCTCCACTTTTTCTGCACTTATACACTCCCTCCTCTCTAGATCCTAGGATCCAGGCACACCTCATGCTTGCACTTAGACTAACCTTCTTTATCTCATCTAATCCCTTCAGTTACTCACACCAACTTCCCTTTTTACTCTGATTCTTTGGGTACTTTGCACAACAGCCCGATGTCAGCCAGCCTTCCACATTTCTGGCCACCTCCAATGATCCCTTCCCTTTTAAACTTCACTCTGCCTGCTCCAGCACTCTCTGAAATGCAAAGATGACCCTTAATTCATCCCTCCAACCCCAGCAGGTGCAGCTGGGCCTCTCACCTGCATCCCTGGTCCAGCCCAGCCCAGCCCAGCCCAATCCAGCCTCCATCTCTCTCATAGACACCTGCTACACTGTGACTGCCCCACCAGTTTCTGAAAGAGGAAAGAATTCCTCCTTTAAAGACTTGCTGATGGTATCTTCATGTCTGGTTAGTTCTAGATCTGGAAGCTTTTGATTCTTCTTTATTCCAAGAGTATATTTTATCTTACTTATTTTACAGGGAAAAATAGTATATATTTAGAAAGAGGCAGCTGGCCTAAGTTTAGATGATCCCAATTTTTTTTTTTTTTTAATGGAACTGGGGATCGAACTCAGGCCCGTGTGCTTGCCAGGCAAGCACTAATTCTACTGAGCCATCTCCCTGGCCCCAATTTTGTTGGCAACATCCAACACATCATGATCGGGAGCCAGTTGAACATATGCCTTCTTCTCTCCATCAGGCCGGATTTGGGTATTGACCTTGGTTCTGACATCCACAATGAACACGAGTGTGTTGTTGTTGTCCTTGATCTTTTTCATGGCTGACACTGTGGTCAGAGGGAACTTGATGATGGCATAGTGGTCAAGCTTGTTTCTCCTGGGGGCTCTCTTCTGAGGGTATTTGGGATGCCTCCGGAGCCGCAGTGTCTTGAGCTGGTGGAAGGTGGGTGACATTCCTATCTTTTTCTTTTTGTGGCTGTGGATGCCTTTCAGCACAGCCTTCTTGGCCTTCAAAGCTTTTGCTTTGACTTCAGCTTTGGAAGGGTCAGGGGCTTTCTTCACCTACAGTGCCATCTTAGTTAAAACAAACAAACAAACAAACAAACAAAAAACTCCAAGGATATTTTAGAGGTGATGCTGTGTACATTTTGAATTTCTTCAAGAGGTACGTGATGCCTATTGTCCTTTCAGTGACTTTTAAGATTGATCAGTGGGGCTCTGGTGATATAATCCACATAAACCCTTCCGAACAACATTTCACCTAATGGTTCTAGTGGACGATGATGATTGTTGCCCCTATCCATTACTTCATTTGAGGGGTTGAATACTGATTTTCTGATTCTAACATATCCCACTTATCACATTTGCTTTTTCTATAAAGAACTTTCTCTATGGGAAGATGGGACGTCTACTTGATTTTTATTTTTTTAAATGTATTTAGTACAGGGTCTACAGGGTCTCATACACAGATCAGACTCATAGTGATCCTCCTGTTTTCAGCCTCCCAAGCTCTGGGATTACAGGCTTGTGCCACCACGCCCAGTCTTAATCACTGTCTCAGCGTTCCCTGGGGGCAGGGACAGCACAGCATGTGGAGCCAGGAATCAAACCCCGATCCCTGCACTTTGCCTAAGCAGGCGCTTTAGTTCGCTATCTGGCCAGCCCTCCTACTTGGTTTTTAGAATGAGTCAGTTCTTAGAAAGCTCCAAGAGTGACAAGTGACTTTTTTTTTTAAGCAGGGGTATGGCCTACCCAGTACTTTAAAGTATATTTAGAATGGTTTGGGGCAAGGAGAGACTATCTGGAAGGTCAGAAGAGTGAAACACTTAAGAGGGCCTGAACTGCAGGAGGGGATTAGGAATTATGGCAACAACAAACATCAAAATTTCCCTCCAAACTTGGTGGCAGGCGAGGAAGAGGATTCTGGTGCCATTAAGTACAGGTCTCAGGTTAACCCCCAAAGAGCCACACATATTTCAGAGGTATCTGTCTCATGCTTTCACCTACTACAGTCTTCAGTAATTTAGATTGTAAGCCAGTGTTGTCTGATGGCATATCCACAAACATGACGTGCACTCCATTACTGATGCGCCAGAGCACTCACAGAAAGATGCAGAGAACAGCGCAGGACATACAGGAGAGGAAGCAGCTACATTTCAAAGTTTACCATCTGGGTATAGCTAATACCCAGCCCACCCCCGAAGTCTGTTCATTCTCAATCTGTCACCATGACTTGTCCTAATCCTCCATTTTCTCAAAATGGTCACACATGAAGGGACTGGTTGACAGATGCAGTGACACCACTACTGGTTTAAATACTAACTGAAAACTGTAATAGGCAAAACTGTAAGGCAAGTAAAATGCCTTTTGAAATATAGGGTCTTTGCGGGGTAAATTTGGTTAAAACCTGTTTTAATTTCTTATGGCTGCAGGACACAAGACAAGTGGTGAGTTGTCCCCATAGCCAGTAAGAGGAGAAAGGCAAGCCATCTCCTGTTTAATGCTGTTCCATCTGAAACCATCCACACGGTCTGGAGAAGGACTAAATATTACACTATGTTTGGTGAAATGACAGGAAGGGATTTGGCTGTAAGTTGAAGAGAAAGATGTACTCCTTCGTCTTAGCTAGTCATATAGTTTTATTATCTTTAAACAAATAAGCAGATATTAAATGGCATTCAACCATATATTTAAATACATAGTTCATATTCATAAAAGTTTGGATGACGAACTGGGGTCTAGAAATTAACTCAGTTGTTGACTAGTGGGTCTAAAGTTTTCCTGAGTTTCAGAATCAAGAATCCTGATGCCCCAAATACAGTGACCAATTAGCTTAACCTGTGCAAATAATAGGTCAGCTATCGATACCTGCTTGTGTATATTTGAAATCTCTCTGCCTTAGCTTCCAGAGTGATGGGATTACAGGCATGCAGCACCACAGCTGCAAGAGAAGTGTCTTTATTTGACAGTTGATACTGGGATGGAGAATCAAGCAGACGTGGGGAGGTAAAGATGGGGTGGGCAGGAGAATCAAGCAGATGTGGCTCAGCCCCTGGGAGGTTCCCTACTCTTTAAGGGCTAAGTGGTCTCAGAACACACAGTGGGCTTTGCCCCTACAAGGCAGAGGCTTGTTGTGCTCTCTAACCAGGAAGAAATGTTAGGGAGTCTATTAGAGAAAAAGCCAATCTTTTCCTCTATCTCCGCTTCATTACTAGTACGGCTGTTCTCATCCTGTGTCTTTATTTTTCAATTTGTTCTGAAGCTAAGCAAGGAATAAGAGTGTTGCTACCTGCTGGGGGCCTTAACTCCGCAAGCATCACAATACAGTCATAAATTACAATAGTCCAAATCTTTATACTTGTGTTCTAAAGAGGAAACGTGTTATTTTTTTAGGTCAGTAAACAATGATATTCTAAAGTACAAATACTTATAAAGTACAAAAAGAATAAAGCATTATATTAAAGTCTTCTTTCCTTACTGGAATAAACAATTCTCACTTTATTACAAATAATCTTAGTCATGGTCTGCAGAAGTTGGTCCTGGGCAATTTGAAGATAGATCTTCTTTATCTATATAGTTTATGTAAGAAAAATAAAAGATTAATACAACTTTTATAGTGAACTTCTAGAGGATAATTTCAATATGACATATATTGATAATGAATTGTGTCTGCTAATTAGTTACTCTGCTACACAAACTAGGAAGAGATAAAAACAGTAATATAATAACCAAAACCTCTTCACCTTCAAGTACAAAGTCCTTAAATACAAGTTAGCAAAGGCAGCTTGGGCAAATACATTAGAAGGGGGAGCACATGGCTTCATCAGACATTTGGCAGATTTTTATTTATTTATTTTATATATTTATTCTTTTGGTACTGGGGATTAAACTCAGGACCATTTGGCAGATTTTAAACCAATTCTTACAATGAAAAAAAATGAAGTGAAATTCAATGTATCTGATTTGTATGGCTCAAGGATAATATTCTATCTAAATGCACAAAAAATTAGCTCTAAAAAGGTAGATTAAAAAAATCTTTAAAAACAAAATATGAAACATTTTATCTTCTCAAATCACTTTAACATTGGAATTTTTAGGGGCAGGGATATAACTCAATAGCACAGTACCTACCTGGCAAGCATGATGTCCTGAGTTCAATTCCCGGTAGGAAAAACAAAAAAACTATATATATATATATATATATATATATATATATATCACTCAAAGATCCCTTACTACAATTCAGGTATTTAAACGTTTAAAGGAATTCTATTTATTTATTTGTGTGTGTGTGTGTGGTCAGCTCAGCCCACCAGGGGGTGGGGCTGGCTGGCATGTGGTGCTGGGGGATTGAACCAAGGTCCCTGTGCTTTGCTAAGCTTATTCTAAGTAGGTGCTTTAGACCGCTGAGCCATCTCACCAGCCCAGGAATTCTAATAAGGATTCAATCATTGCTTTGTTTTGTGGCCCTGGGGATTGAATCCTTTGAACACTGACTATATCCACAGCTCTTTTCATTTTGAGACAGGGTCCCATTAAGGTACCCAGGCTCCCCGCAAATTTACTGACCTCCTTGATGAGCCTCCTAGTAGCTGGGATTACAGGCTCATAATTATCATGCATGGCTCCATGATTTTTGTAGTCGTTATTTCTTTAAGACATTGGTTCCACATTGCCATTTGAATAGAGTAAGAAACTTCTACTGTCTTTGGGAAATGTGATTTCTACTAAAAATCAAGGCATTCATATTTAATATTTTTAAATAGTATGAAGCATTTTCTTACCTTCATAGGCTGTTCCACACCAAATACAATACAGATGTTCTTCCCTTAGGTAACTAGTCAATATCTGTAGTTTTTCCAGTACCTAAATATAAGCCACACACACATAAGATTCCCATAGAACAGGCTCTTGTTTCCGCTTAGATCATGTTGCCTCAGGCGGTGCTTTTTCTGCAAGACTCTCAGTGATGAGAAGTGTCAAGGGCAGGAAGAACACATTTGAACATGCCCCAGTTTACTAGCTATCCTGAAATTTTCAAAAGTCTGCCAGACACATTGAAGACCACTGGTTAACACTGAAAAAATTAAAAAATTGAAAAAATGTTTTTGGCTGACTCTACGATAATAAGCATCTGTTAGAAATCCCTTCTACTTTCAAGACATCAACCCTGTTCGCCCAAGATGGGGTAAAGGTGAACACGGTCTCATTCTGTATGAAGATCTCACTGTGGTTTACATTTGCCGCTCATTCATCAAGCTGAAGATGAAAAGGCAAACCAAAAGTGAATGGCAAACCAGTATCAAATTTTGATATGGGGTTAATAAAAAATCCTGTGCACTCCCCTTCAGCAGGGGATAATCAGCAATACCTAAAGATACTGTTGGTTGACATTGTTAAAACTAGAGGGTAGAAACCAGGGATGCTGGTAAACATCTATAAATGCCCACAATCAAGAATCACCCAGCTGAAAGAATTAGTTGTGTCAAGGACAAGACACCTGCCATGAGGGAAATGGTGCCAAAACATACACTTAAATCTTCACTTTTATACTCATCTTCATCCTCTTCTTTTTCTTCCTCCTCTTCTTCAGTTTCTTCTTCAGGCTTCAACCAGTACCATGCCTCTCTGGGAACTTGAATATTCTGAAAATGCAGAATTATTCTCATGAGATATATCTAAACATAAGACTATCGCAAGTACAACAAGTGTGCTGAGGCCAACTGAATATTCTTTTTTTTTTGGCAGTACTGGAGATTGATCGCAGGGCCATCACACTATGCTAGATCCCCAGCCCTTCTCAAAAAATCGTTTTGAGTCAGTGTCTTCCTACATTGCTAAATCGCTCTAGGTGGGCTTGAATTTATGATCATTCTGGCTCAGGTTCTAATAGTTCTGGAATCACAGGAATTTATCAGCATGACCTGCTCATTCTTTTTTTTTTTAAATGAGAGACATTTTAGTATACGCAGTAATACAGCAGTAACAATGATACGGCGTGCAATTTTTAAAATTAATTGTATTGAGAAAGAAATAGCAACGAGACAGTTTCAAAACAGGTTAGGAAGACAGTCACAATAATTAATACATTGCATATTATTGTCATATTATTGTCTTTATAGTAGTCATAGTACAAGATGCAGACATGATCTCATGTCTAAACAATATTAGTATGAATCTTTCTTCTCACTACAAAGTAGCTATGTATGTATCCTATTTTGTATATACATATATATATATATATTTTCACTACAAAATGGTCTTTCATTTCTTTTTTTTCTTTTCTTCAAAATTTAAAAATATGGAACGCTTCACGAATTTGCGTGTCATCCTTGCGCAGGGGCCATGCTAATCTTCTCTGTATCATTCCAATTTTAGTATATGTGCTGCCGAAGCGAGCACTGCTCATTCTTTTTTGAAATATGTTCTTTCAGTAAATGTAAGTACTTACTGAGTGCTGCTTTAGGAGTAAAGCACTGTCCTGTGAATTACGGGGATGCAAAGTCTAACTAGAATGTTCTCTCTATGTGGCTGCTAACAGTCCAGGAGGAGGATATACTATAGATATAAAATAATACATAGAAACTAGGCAATCATAAGTATCAGGAAATATTTAAAATATTTATTCTATGAAGATGCAGCAAATGAGAGATTGCTTCTAGCAATCTACACACATTAGAAAGAAACTTGGGAAGCTGTACCGACAGTTTTGAGATGTTAAATGAAGTCATTTTATTATTTTTTTAACATAAAAATAAGCAACAAGCAAAAATAGACTTCTTAAGCCACTCAAATCTGAAATAGGATTCCATCTTTATACACAAGAGACACATAATGTACTGAATATGAATGGAAATGGGCTCTTCTAGTTACTCAAATATTATGAGGAACAGAATTTCTAGTGGAGTAATCAAAATACAAATTAGCAGAGGACAAGTTATTTAATCTTTATTTGATAATTCAGGTAACTCAAGATTCTGCAGCAAAGAAGCCATCAGTGTATTTATTATCATAAATCAGTAGTGAATACTAAACAAAGCTTCAATGAATAAAAAGATAGATAAACCAGGCTTGGAGTCTTTTTTTTTTTTTTTCTCCTTATAGTATTGGGACTGAACACAGGGCCTTCACAATCAGCTATATCCCAACCCTTCCCATCTTCTATTTTGAGATAGGGTCTCATTAAGTTGCTAAATTGTTCAGGCTGAGCTTGAATTTGCATTCTTCCACAGCCTTTCAGAGTGCAGGGATTATAGGTGTACATCACCATGCCCCAGTGAAGTTTAGAGTTCTTTTTTTTTTTTTTTTTTATTTTATATATTTGGTACAGGGTCTCACTATGCAGCTTAGACTCACAGTGATCCTCCTGTTTTCAGCTTCCCCAGCACTGGGATTACTGACATGTGCCACCAACCACCATGCCTGGACTTGGCCAGTGTGCCCCAGGGGCAGGGCCAGCACGGCATACAGGACTGGATCAAACCCTGGTTCCTGCACTTGCCAAAGCAGGCACTTTGTCTGCTGAGCTATCTCACCGGCCCACGAGTTCTGTTTCCGTTAAACAAAACACGTGGGAAATCATACTGGGTGGCAAAACACTTTTGGATGCTGAAAGCAAGTAAGATTTTACCTTCTGGGTATCCAACTGTTGACAGGCTCGCTGGCTTCTCTTAAGATCTCCTTCAAGTTTCATTTCATCTTGCTTATTTTTAAGTCGCATCCTAGTGGAAAGAAAAAAGGTACAGTAACATCTGTATTGTCTTTAACCACTGCTCATGGCCTTTTATTATACGTAGCTCTTTCGCCATTTTATATTCCCCAGTAATGAGAACATATCACAGTAAAGAGGATTTGAAACCAAGAAAGAGTTCAAATACGAAGTTTTACCGAAACTGTTCTGCAGCTTTTTCTTCGGCTTGGTTTTTCATGTGAATCTTTCTTTTGTAGCTTTCTAATTTTTCTTCTGCTTTCCGTTTTAATAATGCCTCATGACCAATGCCACTCTTCCCTGTTTAAAGAAAAAATTCTGATGAAGTGCTGTGCTTTTTTACAATTTAAATACTTGCAAATTAAATGCAATTCTCATTTGAATATAATCATTTAAACTCATTCACTAGAATGACAGAAGGAATTAAAGCTCTTTTTTGTGTTTTCAAAGTACACAGTCATATTCTTACAAAGATCAGAAGTTTCATCTTCTAAGACTGTATACATTTTTAAAAAGCAGTAAAATAGTTATCAACTGTTATACTTTTATGTAAGAAAGCTGAATAAGACATGTCTTCTTCCTTTGAGTTCATCCAAATTATTAAGCAAAACATTTCATTAATAAACCTGTCTCAACACATTTAGAACATTTCAATGAATAAAAATAAAATTAGATTGCACTTTCTTTTTTATGTATTTAGTACAGGGTCTACAGGGGCTCACTACACACACTGCACTTATAGTGATCCTCCTGTTTTCAGCCTCCTAAGTGCTGGGATTATAGGCACACACTACCACACCCAGTCTCAAGTCTCTGCTCAGCGTGCCCCGTGGGCAGGGCTGGCATGGCACGTCAGGGATCAAACCCTGGTCCCTGCATCTGCCTAAGCAGGCACTGTAATCCGCTGAGCTAGCTGGCTGGCCTAGTATTGCACTTTCAGTGGTCACAATGATTTTTCTCTACATTTTCATTATTTAGGTTTTATTTTATACTAAAACTTCCTTTTTTTTTGGGCAGAACCAGGGATTGAACTCAGGACCTTGCACTTGCCAAGGAGGTGCTTGTTCTACTGAGCCATCTCCCCGACCCCTAAAACTTTCTTTTTTGAGAGAGGGTCTTGATGCTAGTTTAGACTAACCTTGAACTTACTTTGTAGCCCAGTGTCTCCAACTTCAGGCAATTTTCCTGCCTCAGTTTCCCCTTGGAGTACAGACACATGCCATTATGACCAGCTCTCAAAATTTACTTTAATTTCACTAAAACTTTTATTTTCTTTAGAAAATAAAACCTTCTAAAGGGTTTAGAAGTCTATCAAACATTTTACTAAAGGCTTCCCATAAGAACTATAACAGTATCACCTTTAAAAAGTATTAAGCAAATATTTGTGGTGGATTTAAGCGTAAGTTACTATTACTGGAAAATAGGTTCAAAAACAATTATATACCTGTTTTGACGTTAAGAGGAATTGGTTCAATGATACCATCTCCTAAAAGAGAGAAAAACATAGTTCTAGCTCAAAAATTTTCGCTCTGTACAGTATATGACTTTACAGTGGTTGCGACATCACTCCCCCCCCCCAGGTTCAGGGATATGCAACACTGAAATCTGAAAATTAATACTATATGTAATCAAATACCTCCCTTGCCTTCAATACCTAATTATCAATAAAGCGGCCTGGTAGTCTCTTATTTCACTTTCAGAAGTGACAATACTGATATAATAGGTCCAAGAGGGTAACAGCCTTAAGAGAAAGCAAAGCCTTGGTGTGTGAAAATGAAAGCAATTGCAATGAAAGAGAAAAGATGTCCATCTCACAGAAGTTACTATAAATATACTGCCCTGCATTTTAATAACCATTTCACATCCCAAAAGAGGTGTGAATAGTGTTTGAGTGAGGCAGCTGCCCTGCCAATATCCTCAATGTTGCTTCATTGTCCTTTGGCCATTTTGCCTCTTAACCCTTTGTCACCACTCTTCGCTGCCTCTACTGTAAGCCAAGTCCATCCCAGTTGGTAGTATCTTCAAGGCTGCACTGGACTGAGAAGCAGCTGTATGTATACATGTATACATACACTGGGGGTTGAACTCAGGACCTTGCGCATGCAAGGCAAGCACTCCATCACTGAGCTACACCTCCAGTCTTTTTTAAATTTTACTTTGAGACAGGATCCAGGTAAGTTGCCCAAGCTAGTCTCAAACTTGTGACCATTCTGCTTCAGCCTTGATGGGACTTCCTGATCCATGCCAGCAGGCTTTGTAAAAAGCAGCTGCTAATGGCACAAGTGACATCTAAAATGGATGTGCAAAAATGAAAGTCCTCTATAAATCTTGTCAGCACATAAGAGACAAGGAAAGCTTAAGTTCCTTCAGTTTTTGGTAGAAGAACACATATTACATTGTCATCTGTGGTTCTCCTCACTACACCTCATCTGGGTAGTTAGGAATGCCTGTCTATTTCAGAATGTAACTTACCACTCTTGCCTAGCGCTTGACCACTTTTATAGCCCATCTTTTGAAGCAAAGCAAACCCTTTGTTTTCACAGCCTAGGGCATTTTTCAACCCAGTGTCACGTCTTTCTCGTTCCTCTTCTTTTAAACTCTTCTGTCTGTTTTTCAAATTAGCTTCCTGTTGCTTTTCTTCTTTTCGACGGGCTTCTCGGATTTGCCTGAGCATTGGTAATCCTGGTCTGATATCCTCTCTAAACCATAAAAGAAATGGTTATCTTAGATAAGCACATAGTTTTTTTTTTATAGCTTTGCTGCTTACTTGACACTAATCAGTATTTGAGTATTTCAACATCATCTCTATGACCATCTGTGCTATTACTGGTATTACAGCATAATCAGTGATCTCCAACAATGACTGTTTTAGTAGAATTGATGAAGGGTGATTATATATTGTGGGAAGCTAAAGAAACTATAGGAAGATGACTAATCTTTATTGGAGGCCAGCAATAATAAAGAGCAAAGCCTACTAAAAGCTAGAAGAGACAGGATGAAGTAAGGGAAAAGGAATAAATTTCTGTGGAAGGAGAAAAAAATGATCAAGCTCATAAATATAATGTTAGCACAGAGAGGGAAAAGGGGGCTACTACTCTCCTTTTCTTTATTATTATTATTTTTTAATTTACGTATTTGGTACAGGGTCTTACTACGCAGCTCAGACTAATAATAATCCTCCTGTTTTCAGCCTCCCCAGCGCTGGGACTAAGGGCATGCACCACCATGTTTGGGCTGGTGCAGCAGGTGGTACCGGGGATCAAACCCTGGTCCCTGCACTCGCCTAAGCAGGTGCTCAGTATGCTGAGCTATCTTGCCAGCCCTCTGCTACTCTCTTTGTGTGAACAAATCAGTGTCATTGCTGGCAGGAATGTACAACCATTATGGGAATCAGTATGCAGATTCTTCAAAAAACTAAAAGCCAGCCTTGGTGGGACATGCCTATAATCCTAACATCAAGATGCTGTGGCAGGAAAATCACCATGATGTGGAGGCAGCAGGGCTACATAGTAAGCTCAAGGCCAGCCTGAACTGCACAGTGAAACCCTTTCTCAAAAAAAAAAAAAAAAAAAAAAAAAAGCAAACAAACAAAGGAATTAAAACAAAACAATTAAAAATATAAATTCCATTTGATCCAGCTATTCCCTTTCCAGGAAACTTTCCAAGAGACATATTACTTTCAACTCAATGTTGCACAGCAGCAAAATTTGTAATAGCTAAATCTTAGAGGTAGCCTATTATCTATAGATAGATGGATAATGAAAATGTCATATTTATACCTCATGGAATACCACTTGACTATAAAGAGGGAGAACTTCGCATCATTTATAGAAAAATGAATGCAACTCGAAAACATGTTAAGTGAAATAAGCCAGACACATAAGCTTAAATAGCATATGTTTTCTTTCATATGAGAAATCAAAAGTGTAAATGAGGCATGAACAAAATGAAAGGCAGATGTGATGAGACGGGAAGACAAGTCTTTTGTAAATGGGAATGGGAGTGTGCAATGGAAGGCTGGAGGGAGAGGAGGAGGAGATGTGGAAAGAATTGGGATGTGTTGTGCACACGTACCAACCACCTACAATAAACGTAATTGAGAATGGAGGGAGGGGAAGGGGAGTAAAAAGAAGAAGTGTTAAGTACCTGTACATACCTCCTAAGGTAAATGTAAACATTATATACTACAAATGTGTACTAATAAAAAAGAAAATCCAAAAATCAATGTCATTGCTTCATAGTCTATGCATATTCTATGCATATTATTACATTAGATGTGTACTTTTACTTACTTGACATTAATGAAGGAATCTGACATATAGTCCTCTTCTTCTGCCATGTTCAACTTCATATGGCAGTACTACCTAAAAATCAAAACAGAAAGAAAATCATAATTTTCTTTAGCATACTGTTATGGTGTGGGTCTAGTTGTCTCCCCAAAGCCTCATGCAGTCATGGGGCAGTGGGCTCTAGAGTTTTGGTTAATTCACAGTTTAATGCTGGGATTACGCTGTGAGTGCTACACTTGCCCTGGGACAGATGGCCTGAATGCAATATAAGGGAGAGAGCCTCTGCTGTTGTAGCCCCTGCTTCTTCCTTTATGCTCTTGCTGTTTTGCTGCTTTTGCCACCGTGCACTGATGCCCTCTGCCCTCTGCCCCTCTGCCTTGGAGCCAGCTGATTATGGACTGAAATCTCCACCAACTGTGAGCTAAGTAAACCTTCCCTTCCTTAATTTTGGGCATCAGGTATTTTGTCCCAGCAATGAGAGAAAAGTAACTGAGACATATACCAAAACGAAAATAAACCCTTGTTTATCCCTAGGCATCAGCTTTCTCCAGAATACTACTGTGTATTCAAGTGCTCCTTGGACATCTTTATTTGTGAAGTTCTCAAGCTCAAGTTAAAACAATTCATCTTTCTTCCCAAACCTCTTCAATCCCCTGTATTTCCATGTCAATGTCACCATTCCTTCTCCCTTCCTGACCTCTGCTAAACCTTTGTCAATTCCCCACAACAGAATTTCTCACAATTACTTTTCCCATAGTTGTGATGACTACAGATGTTTTCCTCACCTGAATGATTACAACATCCTTTTAACAGGACTTACTGGCCTTTGGCCTCTCCTCTTCTGTATGCCCACCAAAGTGCTTTTGGTTTTGTTCTTCCAACGCAAGTCAGGTCAGGTCATGTCTCTGTTTTAACCCTTTAGTAAACTTTACCCTGTAGGTAGTGGAGAACTGGGTAATTAGCAAAGTAAGAGATGTTGTTTTTTGTAGTCTGATCTGACTCCTTTAGGTTATTATTCAAGCCATACATGCTCATCAATATCCTCTGAACATACCACAGACATTTCCTTCCTCCTAGGCTGAGGCTTTTTCATCAAAAAACTGTCTTGACCACTCCAGACACAGTCTCTTTATGATACTTTATGTTTGAAGTTGCTCATATAGAACTTGATCTGTTGATTTTGTAATAAATAATGGAGTCCTCTTCCCCCCGCATGTCAACATCTTTTTAAAAATTAAAAAAAAATTTCATAAATACAAAAAAACTACATAATGCGAATGTTTTATGGTATGAACACTTATAACAATGCAATACCCTCTAAGATAGCCCCCAGCTATATGCACATCTTGGATTCTTCACATCTGTGTGCAGTCTCCTCCCACAGTGAACTAAACTGACCTGCATAACCAACAGGACTTTGTGGAAATGATGGCATTACGGTTTACAGCCAAGTGTCCCCTCAAAGGCTCTTGAGCCTCAGGTCCACTGATGAGCTGATAGGCAAAGGATTTGGGAGGGCAAGTGCAGTTGGAGGAGGGGGTCACTGGATGTGTGTCCTCCAGGGCCTAGCTCCATCCCTCCTCCTTTGATCCATCTCTCTGCTTCCTATCTGCTGTGCCATGGGCTGGTTTTCTTCTGCCAAATCCCTTTGCCATGCTGTCCTGCCTTGGAGCCAGCTGAGGCCTATGGACTGGAATATCCAAAAACCCTGAGTCTAAAAAAAAAAAACAAACCTTGAGTCTAAATCATTTCTTCTTTAAACTGTGGGTGTTAGGTACTGTTTCTCAGCAATGAGAAAATAAGATGGAATGTGAATCTGGTCAGAGCAGACACTGTAGTTCTTGGTTTGATCACTCTAACTTTGAAGCTGACTAATGATTTAATTGAAGGAAATCAGCGGTTGCATAACACAGATACTCAATAAGCTTTATAGAGAAGTCCACTTGGGAGGAACTGAGTCTCCAGTCAACAGCAAGCACAAGTTTGTGAGCCCCATGAGTGGGAACGATCTTGGAAATAGTTTTCTATTCCCAGTCAAGCTTTTGAATGACTCAGACTTGGCAAGCAACTTCATTAAGAAGGACTAAACTATGCTGAAGAGCTCACAAATTCCCAACTCACAGAAACTGTTAGTCAATAAATGACAACAGGTACCTTAGGCTGCTCATGTTTTGTATAATTTGTTAGCAAAATAGAAATTTTTTTTATCATTAAAATCAGTAGAAGCTGGGGCTGGAGAGATGGCTCAGTGGTCTAAAGCACCTACTTAGAACAAGCTTGGCAAAAGCATCAGGGACCGCGGTTCAATCCCCCAGCACCACATGCCAGCCAGCCCTGCCCCCTGGTGGGCTGAGCTGGCCTCTC